ATTGTAAAAATCCACTGTATAATTAAATCACTTGTGCTGAAAATCTGAAGGTAGACAAAAACTATACAACATGTCACAATAGTGGTAAATAACAATTAACATTCTAATATTTTTTTCAGCTACTTCTTTGGAGTTGGATAAATAATGATTTTATTTGCTTGCAGTAGATTTTATTTTTTATATTCTGGGCCAGCTCAAATATATCTTATGAAATAAGAATTCTACAATTTGCCAGTTTCTACTTTATATTATAGGTAGAACTGTTTGTAATATTAAATAATACTACTTTCTCCGATTCAGGTCATGTTGACTTGGAATTATAACCAACCCAACAGAAGAGCACTAAGCTGGGGAAGATGAGCTAATTCTATGGTAAACAAATAGATTAGTTCCCTGAAGGCTTTTATACTAAGTTTGAGGGCTTAATTTCAGTTACTTGAAGGGCTGGACTTTGTCTGGGTTCAGTCTGAAAAGAAGCACAACACTGAGGAGAACAACCATGTTTATCTGCAATTATTGTTAAATCCCTGCTTTACAAGAGGGACCCTTGGGATGAACAATGGGAAAGCAAAGATTTTTGTAGAAGTTTGAGGGCTACAAGGTGAGAAATCCTAAGGATCTAATTGACTGGTCAGTTTGGGAAAGCTAGGTAGGTCTTTATCTGTGCATCTGGGATGAATCCTGTCATTAGGCAAAATGAGCCTTTCAGGAAGGCAACAGAGCTGAGGAAATCCATTGTTAAAGGAGATGGAATGTTTGAGGTCATCAGCTTGGTTTAGGGTTTATACAAAAGAAATTATGTCTACATTAACATGTAATAATAATAATAACTTTATTGTCACTTTGAAAGTACACCAATCGGCATACATCAAAATGAAATTTCGTTGCATACAGCTCTCAAAGGGTCACCACCTCCGATATACAGTCCTTGTTCGTGGCCAGCTCAAGTTTCAGATCATCCATTTTAATCTCTACGGAGCAAACGATGGCAAACAGGACAGATGGAAATGGAGCTCCATGTGGATTATCCCTCAAATTAGCTTGTATTCCTGCACAACAACCTCATCTCCTTTTCTTTTATTGATCTTGTCTCTTCCACCTTTTCCTTAAAGAGGCCTCACTCTTTTTCGCCCCTGGAGAACGCTGCCACCACCACCAACTCCTCCAAAAGCCTCTCTCCCATCCTCTGGGCCTGCCGATAGCCTCATCCAGTTCCTTCGCTCCATAAGCCCCAAGACCTCTCCTCCTCTGCCTCCTTTGGAAACAGCCCTTATTTGCAATAGAATCCATCGCTGGGCCAGCAGTCAGATCTTGCTGCCGGCAGAACAATTTCAAACTGCACCAACGACTTTTAACGGTCTCACCAACAGTTCCGAAACAGCTAGAAACTCACCATGCCAGCAAAGATTGTCAGTCGTATGTTGTATGTTACCTTAGTTCCTTCACATTGCTTAAACACATTAAAACCTTCCTGATCATGCGGCCTATATCCTTAATATCCCTCCCATAACTCTTCACCTTCGAGAGCCAATGCAGCCGCAGCCGATCCAGGTGCCGCCATCTTAGAACATTATATACACATCTACTTGCTTTTATCACTTACTGACTGGCATAATTTAAATAGAGTTAGTAAATCAAACCCAGGTCCTATAAAAGCACTTAAGCAAACTAGGGAGGCTCTCAATGAAATGACTGACATCCATAGATGGCTAGGAGAAAAACTCAACATATATGTCCAATGCCTCCGATAATCAGTGCAAAACCATTCAGAGGCATTTCCTTAGCAGCAGATTTATCCCATCTAAGTGGCAGCTTAAGGGTCCTGCTGTTTGCCTAGACTTCTCTGAATACATACCGTATATGCCGGCGTATAAGGTGACTTCCGCAAGCGTTAAAATCGGCGCCAAAGACGGGGGTCGTCTTATATGCCAAGTCGTCTTATACGCCGGAAATACTGGTAGTTTCTGGTGTATAAGATGACGTTCTAAGAATGCGACTCAGTGCCAAAGACAGGGGTCATCTTATACGCCGGGTCGCCTTGTACGCCAGCATATATGGTACTGCCAGTTATATTGTCTGCATTCTTCAGAACGATGACAGGTTCCCAAGAGAGTCTGGAAATTAATTTTATTATTCTCTTTCTGCCTGAAATACACTTGAGGGAAAAAATATTGTTTTAGATATTAATCTTAATGGGTTGTGGATTTTTTTTCTGTGCATGCATGTACTGTATATGCATTTTTCAGGGAAGAATATATGATGAGGTATAAGGTGATTACATTTGGAAATGTGGAGTGACAAAGCATTGCAGAGAGAACTTGAGCTGTGATATATTTGAGAGAGAGGAGAGGGGGAGGGAATGAGAGAGAGAGAGAGAGAGAGAGAGAGAGAGAGAGAGAGAGAGACAGACAGACAGACAGACAGACAGAGACAGAGAGACAGATAGACATGACCATAAGCCTTGATGTTCTTTTGAAATCCCCAAAGGAACAGGAATTCACATTTGGCATTCACAGCAGAAGTTTTAATTATACCAACTATCTCACAATCATGCTTATCATGGCTGCTCCAAAGATGGAGAGATAAGTGGGATCTAATATAGTATTCTTATCAGCCAAGGATAAAACAAAGGAAATAAACAGAAGTATAAAGCATCTTGCCTAAGATTACAACCTCTGGTAATGGATATAAAATTATTCAGTAGCCCTTGTTAAAGCCCTGCTCCAGATTCCTTTTTTTTCATCTTTAGATGCAATCCTTGACTTATAACCATTCATTCACTGGCCAGCTGAAGTTACAACGGCACTGAATAAAGTGACGTATAACCGTTTTTCACACTTAAAATTGCAGCATCCCTATGGCCATGTGATCAAAATTGAGAGATGCTTGGCCACTGGTTCATATTTATGATGGGTGCAGTGTTCTGGGGTTAGGGTATCACTCTTTGTGACCTTCTGACAAGCAAAGTCAATAGGGAAGCCAGATTCACTTAACAACCATGTGACTAACCTAACAACTGCAGTGACTGCTTTAACAACTGTGACAAGGAAGGTTGTAAAATAGGGAAAACTCACTTAACAGCTCTCTTATTGAGCAACGGAAATTTTGGGCTCAATTGTGGTAATGTCTGACTATGTATTCAAGGCTGGAATCCCAACAACTCATCTAATGCCCTTCTACAAATGTTGGGCTTGTCCCAAAAACTCAATGCTAACATTTCCCTGAGTATGTGACCAATCAGAATGGGGAAAGAATGAGAGAAAGCAGCCTTCTCTCTTCCTCTCCTCAAACTCTTCAGGCAGGAGAGTCAAGAAAGAACGTTCAGTTTGCTTTAAAGCAAATTTATCTGATCTGGACACTTGCTTTATTTGGGCTCCAAATTACATGGTGAGCTGTCTTTGCACTCAAGAAAATGAGGTCATCTTTTTCATCTTTGCATGCACATTTGGACATTGGAAGGAACAGGGCTATCTATATGGCCTTGTTTTCTTCCCGCTTCAGGTTCTCTTAAAAAGTCTCCCATGTTGAAAAACAGTCTCTGAATATACTCTGAGAAAAATACAGAAGAAAATAGTGTCTTAGGAGGGGGAGCACTGCTGGAAGGATCAGAGAACATCTATCTAAACCAGTGGTTCTCAACCTTTCCAATGCCGCGACCCCCAACCGTTCGTAAGTCAAGGAGGACTACTCAACTGGTGCAGCACCGTTTGCAGAATGGGACTTTTGGTGGGCTCAGCAGGGCAGAGACAGCCTGGACAACTCCTATTGGTTTTTGAAAGCCAATAGAATTAGACTCTATTCAAGAGAGTCTATTCTATTGGCTTTCAAAAGCCAATAGAATAAAAGGGAGTAGCACAGCTAAGGAAAAGGGGGAAAAAATGGCAGACTGCATTGTTTGGCGACCCCAGTGAAATGGCCGTTCGACCCCAAATGGGGTCCCGACCCACAGGTTGAGAACCACTGATCTAAACAAAAATCCTGCATGAATTAGTCTCAGAAGAGGGCATTTATTCTCTAATATTTATAAAACTTTATTAGCTGCACCTGGCATAGAACTACCTAAGTTGCTAACCAAGGGCACTATGGAATACCAAACTGGATAGTGATTAAATCCATTAAGAACCCATATCAAGCTTTTTCATTCTGGAATTGAAACCATCATAAAATGCTTGTTGAAAACTGAATTGATTCAGGGTATGCACATAGGTAATCATGTGTTTTAGCACCCTCACAGACAGTACTTTAACTGTCATAATAGTGTCCTAACTGAGAGATGAAATCATATTATTAGTGCAGACTATTGAAGGTGATGCTGCTGTGATTTTAAAAAAAAACACAAATCTTGCCAAACCAAAATAAAGCAATGAATATCTAACTTACTGCAGAAGGAGAAGTCGAATAAATAAATTAACAGCTTTTTTTAAAAAAAGATGAATATTTCCCTAAGTACAGAATTACAATTTACAAACCTAGTATTATGAAAAGAAACAGTTGATGCTAAGTGCAAAAACAGCCTTTTAGATAATGGAGTCTGATTTTTTTTTTCACTCCTAAATTCTTTGTTAGAGGAAACAATTGTGATATATTTACATCAGTACATCATACAAATTCTGAAACTAAAATGTTTTTTCCCCTTACTCCAAGGTCAAGCAAAATTCTATCAGATTTTTGAAAAATGAAAAAGAACCATGTGAATTTTTATGGACTTTATATCCAAGCCAACAAGAGTCTTAGTTATATACCTTATTTATTTATTTGCTTATCACATCTATATAGACACCATTTCACAAAAAGCAACTCTACAAAATAACAAAAGCATACAAAAGTTGTTTGTAAAAGCAGATAACTTCAGGAAAAAAACTGTGTAAACCTGTTATAGATAAGACTGTTATATAAAGGCTGCTACAGGATTGATCCTATGGCAGTTATTTTTCCCTATCTTATGTTGTTTGTTAAATACTGATCCAACATTCCCGACTCTAAAAATTACATGAACTTACCCTAAAGCAACATTTTTTTCATCCTCCTCCTTCAAGCAGGGAAACATTTTGAGAGACACTCAAGAAGCACAGTTCTTAATTTGGCAGTATATTTTCTGTAAGGAAATAAAAATATCTTAAGTAGTCATATCACAGCACATAAGCACAACTTTAAATTGATTTGACTCGAAACAAGCAAACAATAAATTAATTTTTCTGTGCCTTCCAAACTTAGTTTAGCAACTTTTTTAGGTAATGGATGCTCTGTACTCCACTCTTTAAAAAAAAAAAACATACAAAAATCTGCAGAATCATCAAATCCTGTTAGATGTCAACAAGAGAGAGAGAGATATCATAGAAGAGTGAAATCTGACCAAACAAGGTTACTTGCAGATCTCTAAGTGCTAAGACATAAAAGTCTTTATAGGTTAAAATCCACATTTTGAATTGTACCCAGAAACCAGTGTAGGGCTTGCAAAACTGATATAATGTGATCATAGTACTGAGAATATATCAGCCTCCACATGTATGAAAGACAGTTGGAGGAAGGGTTGAGCAACTGTCACATACATTTTTTCTTCTAGGAATTTGACAGAGAAAATGAGGAGTCACAGTCTTCCATAAAGTCGATGCTCTGGCACGTTGGCCACGTAACCAATGGATCTTTATTATTTATTTATTTTATTTTGTGCCCTGCTTTTATTATTTTAAAAATAACTCAAGTTGGCAATGCTTTTGGACTGAAGTCAATTACTGTTGCAAAACTGGCAATAACAGTTATTGAGGACATATGGATTTTTCTTCATCTTTGCCAATGTTACAAAAAAGCATTTGTTGTTTAGCCAGAGATGTATCTGCTCTTCATATTACACCTACATAAGTCAATTTTCAATCCAAGGAAGAGGCTTAAGATGAATTGCAGACTAATATCTTCAATTTGAAAACAGGGAGGAAAATGAAAGAAAGGAAAATAAGTTGATCAATGATCAGAACAATGGGGATAATTCAACTACAAAATTATACAACAGTAATAGAGCATGATAAGGTTATGTAGAGAAAAAAAATCTGGTTTCTCTTCAGATCATATAAATAGCAAAATGTTAAATGTAAATGTAAAAGCTATAACACATCATGTAACAAAATTTAGGAGAAAACAATTTCATAAAATAGTAGTTCATAAAAAGAAAAGATTTATGCATATTGTAAAAGCTTTCAAACCATTACTTTCATGCTATTGCCATTAAAGAATGGGTAGTCAGACCTGCTACACAATGTTGCTTTTATTTCCATTCTCCCAGCTTACATTTTCTTGCAAAACAAACCTTTATTTTTAAAAATCTTTCAGAAACTGGGGGAAACCTTTTTTTTTTACGTACACCTTTCAATGTATAATTCCATAGTGGTCTCTTCCTCCAAACCAAATGGTTGTTTTATCATTTTAAATATTTTTTGTCAATGCAAGTCACCAATTTATTACTTTATCATTCTGTGTTCTTACAGCTGCTAAGAGCAGCTTAAAAATATATGGAGTGATGCGTGGGACTTTTTAATGTATGCCAGGGGTGTCAAACTCACAACATCGTGACGTGTCGTGACATATTGTGATTTTTTTTCCATTGCCAGCAATGGGGTGGGCACGGTTTCGGCATGATGCATCCGGCCCAGGGGCTGGCGGTTTGACACCCCTGATGTACACTATATATTAGTAGAGTACTTCAATCACTATTCATTGCTATCTTCAAAGAAGATGCAAAAAGTTGTGCTTTAGTAGCAAGCATTATAAAAATGTCTGGGTGTGATGATCAAAGAGATCTGGTGTAGATTATACACACTCTAATATAATTACAGGGATTACAGAGACAGGAAGGAAATTAAAAAGAAAGGAGACTTGGATGTTCCGATGGTACAAAGTCAGAGAGACATAAATTACTGATAGTTGTGGAGTAGCTGAGAAAGGAAACTCACACAGAAATGAATAGAAAACATAAACTCCCTTCGCACAATACAGTAAGTATGTATGTAGAGAGGGACAGCTTTAATAGATTGGAAAAATACAGATTTTTTTTTTCTAGCCCTGCCTAGTGTTTGGAGAGAAGCCAAGCTTCTGAAGGGCCTTTCCTGTGCAGCAGCTTCATAACTGCTCTAGAAAAAGAAAAACCAGGAATGTCTGTCTGTCTGCCTGCTTGCCAACTGCTAACTCGAAGAGAAACAGAAGGAGGGCTGAGAGCCAAATTGCTAAACTGCTGAGTGACTGATGATGCTGGAATGTGGAAATGTGAATAGAGGTGTCTAGAACATTTGAATCTAGAACATAGGAGTAATCCTTGACTTACAACATTTGTTTAGCAACTGTTCAAAGTTACAAAAAGTGACTTAATAACCAGTCCTCACATTTGCAACCATTGCACATCCCCCATAGTGACATGATCAAAATTGGAGTGCTTGGAGACTAACACATATTTACAATGGGTTGTAGCATCCTGGAGTCATCACCATTCTTGATTGTCATCACTGGAGGTTTTCAAAAATAGACCGGATAACCATACGGTATAAGACTCCTTCCTGCCTTAAGCAGGGGGTTGGACTAGAACAGTGGTTCTCAACCTGTGGGTCGGGACCCCATTTGGGGTCGAACGACCATTTCACGGGGGTTGCCAAACAACACAGTCCGCCATTTTTTTCCCCTTTTCCTTAGCTGTGCTACTCCCTTTTATTCTATTGGCTTTTGAAAGCCAATAGAATAGACTCTCTTGAATAGAGTCTAATTCTATTGGCTTTCAAAAGCCAATAGGAATTGTTCAGGCTGTCTCTGCCCTGCTGAGCCCTCCAAAAGTCCCATTCTGCAAACAGTGCTGCACCAGTTGAGTAGTCCTCGACTTACGACCGGTTGGGGGTCGCGGCATTAAAAAGGTTGAGAACCACTGGACTAGAAGATCTCTGAGGTCCCTTCCAGTCCTATGATTCTATGATTTGCAACTTTCCCAGTTTGGACAAGCAAAGTCAGGGAGGAAAGCCGTATTTGCTTAAAGATTACATGACTCACTTAACAACTGCAGCGATTCACTTAACAACTGTAACACAAAAGGTTGTAAAATCCAGGCAGGACTCACTTAATAACCACCTTGCTTAGCATCAGAAATTCTGATCCCAAATGCTGTCCCAACTCAAGGACTACCTGTAACCGTCTCTTAAAAATTTATGTGGGACAAGCCTGGAAGGTAACTTAGTCATCATGGGAGAGACAGAAAGAAGCGGAATAAGCTGAGAGCTGAAAGCTGTGTGCAACAAAGGAAAAACGCTGTACTGTCAAAGATAAGAAGTGACTTTAACATCCAAGGAACTCACCCTTCTGAAATCTCCAGAGAGAGAGGGGGGAACCAAATTCCTACAGGAAGGTAACAAAACATTGAGGAAACAGACCATGCAACTGACAGCAGTTTAATATTTAAATAGTAGGGGAGTCAGACATGAAACCAAAAACTGGACTTAAAGTTGGTTCACCAAGTTTAGACAATTCTCTACATAAGGTGACAGGTTTATAGGGAAACATCTGGGATAAAAGTTAATTTAAGGGTTCCTATGAAAAAATAGATGCTACCTGTCTATCTATGAATAAATTGAACCCTTCATCACTATGCCTATCCTACCTTATGCCTTGAACTATAGAGAACAAACTTTTGAAATCAGGCATAAAACAAAACTCAAATAAAAAGTTTATTCAGTGATGAATTAGTTGTTCCTAAGCCAAAATTGAACTCTGAATGTATTTAATCTTTAGTTTGCTCTATTTGCTTTTTATTTCTAATACAGATTCTGAAACCAGACTTGACATGATTTCTACTACCTCTTGCATTGTTAATTAAAACAATGCCTCTGAATATGCTTGCCTCTACTCCAATTAATAACTAACTATATATTACAAAAACTCTTGTGTCTGTTTGTTTGTAACCTTCAACTGAGCAAAACTGGGCTGTTTGGGGCAAGAATTATTGAACCAATGTTAATTCAAATCACTAACTTACATAATTCTGGGACAGTGACATTTGTGAAAGTGGTTGCTGCTTCAGCTCCACTGCACTGCTGCTGTTCAACACAGCTGCCACACTGACAAGGTCAACTGCAGTCACATGATCCTCAAATTTGTTTCCCACAAATTGATGGGAAAGTCAGAAGGAACTGATTTGATTGTGGATGCTCCTTTGCTCCTTGCCACCTTCCCACTTGCAAAATCTGCTTGTGGGAAGCTTGCAGGGAAAAAGTCAATAGAGAATCCAGTAGGGAAGGTCATCCTTCATCAATCCCTCTGAACCTGCCCCATGCAGACCACATGTGCAGTTTCTTCTTCCTTCTCCCCATCTGATAGTAGCCATTTGCTGGCTGCTGGGAAGGGAAGGGGAGGGATAGGAAGGAAGGAAGGAAGGAAGGAAGGAAGGAAGGAAGGAAGGAAGGAAGGAAGGAAGGAAGGAAGGAAGGAGGAACTATAATAGTTATCCATTAGCTTCCCTGTTAAAGGGACCTGACAGCCATATCCTCATTAAGCATGCCTCTCATTTCACTATATATAAATAGATATTCTCACTCCGTCATAATCCAATTAATTTATAATAAATATGATGATCAGGAGAGCATGCTTAACACTTGTCTTTCTGATATATGCCAGGATATTTGAATTATATACTCGCTTTTTCTTTCAGTTCACTGCTGTTAGCCATTTTAACAAGTTAGGCCATTGCTAAACACATCTTGCAGTGCATATAAAATGTTCTTGATTTAAACTACAGATGTGCAGAACCTCTTGAGGAATGCTGGAAGCCTTAGCAAAACTTGGTTTGAGTGTTTGACATTCCTCTGGTATCTCATCCAAGCAGCAGTCTCCCCTTTGATTTGAAATTTTGCCATCAGTGAAATTTTATGTGAAAGATAAAGTACTGGTTAATATTAATTGATATCATAATTTTTTAAAAAAAAAATTGAAGGCAATATAACTGCAATAAAGCATCTGCTACAAATTATTTTCTGAGACAGCCAAAAACCTAGCAGTTGCTGCACTCCCCTTAAGTCAGGGATTTCTACAGGAAGAATGTTATCACATAGAGAAACATATTAATCTAGAACT